TTGTGCCTTTGGAGCATTTGGGCAGTTTGTTCATGTGTTACAACTGCTGATGACAGTTCCAGCTGGATCTTGTAGAGCACATCCCACCCAGTTTCCTCTGATCTCCCACCAGTAAGAAACACAAAACATTCCCAAAGCTCACTTGCAATACATGAAAGTGCCATGCATGTCTTACAGAAGCTCTTCCATACCCTCTGCAAAAGCAGCATACCTGTCATCACCTGTTTGTCTTGGCTTGTTATTGGTCACATTTGGAGGCCCAGGGAAATGGAGAGACAAAGACTGCATGTACAGGGCTGCTGCCCATCTCCCTGTGCCCAGCTAGAGGTGGGGGCACTGGGAAGGGCTGAGTAGACACAGCTGACTTTTTCCAAGTTTCTTCTCTGAGCTATGAAATGGCCAAAGGTCTCCAGTCCCATGAAGCACAAAGCTCATTGAGCAGGAGGTTGGACTGCCCATCTTCCTATGGTCCCTCCCTTCCTCCGCAATCTTCTGATCATGTCATCCTGTCACAGCAAGGTGGTCTTGGACAGAGAGAGTTCTGGACAGAGGCACCAGGAAGGACAGTGTGGCAGCACACTGGTCACTGCTGGGGAGCTCGAGGAAAGATGTGTCATTTACAATTGTGAACACATGGAATGGGAAGACAGGCAGCAAATTGGAAAGAGCAGGCATTCATTTTTTTCAAGTGCCTAAACAGATTTTTACACGTCTTCTCTTCTGTTTGAGGATGTTCCATTTCTGCGCATCCCCATATCTACCCAGATTCTCCTGGACTGACTCTTGGTCATTTGCCATGTCCTTGCTCACTTGGTGTCCCCTATGTGTCTCCTGAAGGCAGAGTGGTGGAAGGGGTTTCTGGTGACGTCATGACGGCTGCTGTGTCTGAGTGCTTTGGGGGCATGTGGCAGTGTGGGCTACTTATTCATCTGGTGTGTGAGGAAGGGCAGCAAAGGTCCAGCAAAGTCTGTTGCAGAGCTCTGGGTTGTGGGAAGCTCTCATGTTGTTCCTGGAAAGAACTGTGTTCACAGGTGGTGACACAGGGAATGCTGGGAAGACCTTCTGTTCCAGCAGTGGAGGAAAACAAGATCAAAAGTGCTCAAAGAACAGCGGGTAATGGAAGGAAAACAGGACAAGTAGGTGGTGCAGAGTTTTAGGAATAGGGAATAGGTGGAGATATGGAAGTTGGGAGGTGCTGCTTGTTGTTCACCCTTTCCGGAGCTACCTGTGTCCTCACAAGTGACTCTTATCTGGAACTTTACCTTTGGAGAGGCTCCGTTGGCATTACAATCCCCACAGTCCTGGGTCTGCAGATACCCCATGAGGAATGACCAGAGTGGGCAGTAAACTCACTGTGGAGCCTAACAGCTCTTTTTGGGCTGCAGAGAGCAAAAGCCCAAAGAGGGGAGAAGACAAGGAGGGAAAAAAGGGAGAAGCTGTTGTTGAAGGAAATGAGCACAGTCCTTGATGCAGGTGACCTTCTGGTGAAGGGTACATCTGCCAAGGGCAGGCAGGAGGAAGTGGGGCGGCTCATGCAGATGCCTCTAATGAGGTCCTGGGAGGTAGGTCACTGGGACAGCCCAGGGAGCCAAGGCTGCCACTTGGTGTAAGGGTTAAAGAGAAAGGATGAAGGAAAACCATGGGTCGACACTGAGATGCAACAATTTTATTGCAGTTCTAGGGGAAGAGGGAGTTGCTGAAAGAGCAAGGCCATGGACAGGACCTTGCCCTGTCTCGCAGCAGTGGGCAGAGCTATAGTGACCATCAACTGCTGTGCAGGAGTGGGCAACCACTGCGAGTCTCTACCATCAGGAGTCAGCAGGCTTTGAAGAGATGGCCAAGAAGGGCAGGAGGAAGGCAGAGTTAAGCCCCAAGAAGGCATGAAGCATCCAAGACCTGGAGCGCAGCAATGCAGCTTGGAGGCTGTTCTACAGAGTGTCGTATCAAGATGTGCCATGGGCTTTTCTGGAGCTCATCATCTGTGGCAGGATCCAGTGTGGGGCTTAGCAGGGCCCACAGTGGCCCTGGGTCGGCCCCCATATCCACAGCCCCCAAAGCCTCCATAGCCCCCATAAAGTCCGTAGCCTCCATAGCCCCCATAGCCTCCATAACCCCCATAGCCCCCATAGCCTCCATAACCATAGCTGCCAAATCCCCCATAACCACCACGGCCTCCAAAAGTGCCACCGTAGCCTCCAGCAACACCAGGAGCTCCTGCCGAGCCAACAACGCTGTGCTGCGGGAAGGAGCTGAGGATGGGTCCGGGGAAGGTGACCACTGCGGCCGGGGGCTGGATCACCACCGTGGAGTCAGGGCACTGCCGCACGCAGGGCTCGTTGCAGGTGTCAGCCAGTGGGGCCGGGGCGACCACCCCACAGGAAGGGACGCACAAGCTGGAGCAGGACATCTTTCAGGCAGACAAGAAGTCCTGAAAAACACAGCAGGGATTAGACAAGAGAGTGGGGAAGGGGCTGTAATGAGGGAGACAGGGAGAGATCCCCAAGAGGCTTCCAAGAGCTGGACTTACGTGGTTGATCAGGAGAGTCAAGCGGAGGAAGCTGGATGGAGGGCTGTGAAGCCCTCGACTCTTTTATACATGTCCCAGATTGCCCGGGGCATCAACCAACGGGGTGGGGGCAGAAACTCTAGGTTATCAAGGGATGAGACAGACAAGCTTCATGTCATAGATTGTGATGCGACACAATTATATGTCTCCTCACTGGAGAAAATGTTGTGCAAACATGCCCTGGAGAAGAAAGAGATGATGAGAGGGACAAATCATTACATGAAAGAGAAGGTGCTGCTGTAGCTGACCGGGCAACACCAATAAACCCTGATCTGTCCTTAATCCATCAGTTTGCTTATGTAGAAGAATCCTAAGCATCTTGCAGAAGATTGGTGTGCCCAACCACAACACATGAAGCA